CTACATGGAAGATGGTCTCTGAAAACAACAGCTAGGTCTCCACCACGACCAGAACCCCAGGGCTGGCTAAGAAAAGAATAACCACTCAGGCAGAGTTAATAATCAGACTAGAATAATCAGATGTTTGCTGCCAAACTTCAGTCAGAAACAGAAAATCCAGGTTTTTAGAGAGAATTAAATCACTGAGCAGGAAGGACTTATTGTTAACAGCGGGTATTTAAAGACAGAATAGCAGCATTCTCTGGTCTGAGCCGGGATCGAACCTGCAACCTTCCAATTACTGGACAACCCGCTCTACCTCCTGAGCTAATGTTGTCCCCAGTTAACAAAATACATCATTTCTGTGGAAAAATTAGGCATTACGGACTCTTGTAGTTGTTTAAACACTAAGAAGAAAAGATTACGTTATTGAGATTTGCAGGAGAGAGAATGTCACAGACGCAATTTTTTTCTGTCCGAGGTTCAATAGTCGGCCGAATCCAGGCAGATGGAGCTGTTTAAAACTCCCCATCCAGACTTCTTTTTACAGCCAAAAAACAGAATTAAGTCTAAGAATTGTGCACACTTAAATAAAATACAGATTTAATTTTAATACATTTTTGACACGCAATCTAATGGTTGTAAATTTTCTGAAGCAATGTTATGCAACTTTTCATTTTACATTCAAAATTTTCATTCTTAAATTAAGAGTAGTTAGTCACTAAACCTTTTTCTTTTGCCAGCTGTTTATCATTTCGCCTCTTACGTAAACTCATACGGTTGCAGCAGATGTAGCACCAAAAAACAAGGAGGTATGCATGTTTTGATGCCCACAGTGGAGTACAAACTTGCACTAATTGTGGCAGATGAGTAGGCCCACTGCCCAACAGAGTTTTTACATTTTTCACAAATCAGTCATATTTAGGAATGCGCCTCCATGCCCTGAAACTGTTTGTGAGCAATCCCCCTCTCACTTCCAACAAGTCCAACCTTGCAGGGGAGCTGGCTCAGGACAAAGGGAGTTGGAATGAGGCGTCTCCCTAGGTTTACCTGCGGTTAGTTGAAAAGTTTTGAATAGAGCCGCACTGTTACAGAGCCCTAAGGCAAATAAAAGCTGGAAGAAGAACAAAGTTTTTTGCCAGCTGAGAGGACAGACACACACACACACACACACACACACACACTTTTTCAACTGCTACCGTTTTGCTACATACACATCAATGTCTTGAATAGCATCAAAATATGAAGTTATTTGAGCTATACTAACAAGCCAAACTTTATTGGTGTTGCTTTAAATTACAGCAGTCAAACTTCAGTATTGACCCATTTGTTTGTCATTAATAATTAAATTATATAGAAAATTATTATTTAAACAGTTAATTTTAAAAGGTTGTTTCAGTAAAAAGAGATAACTGATGGAACAATTCCCCTTTTAAATGTTTAAACAGAATATTTTGATTTTAGGATCAATTTAGACCATAATCATTTTGTGTTAGAGATATCTTGGAATCAAGTTTATACTTTGGTCACAATTAAAACCTATTTGATTGTGTGGTTAGAAACAAACCACTAAAGCCTGGCACACATGAGCAATCTGCTGAGCAAATGGCCTCGAATGACCGTTTGCTCAGCAGATACCTCGCAGTGTGCGCCTGATTTTCACTGAATTTTCTGCCTCACGAGACGCTGAGGTGAATATCTGACCAGTTGGATATTTTCCACCTCACGGGGGTAAAAACTCGCCGTGTGCGCACTACTGAGCTGCTGGCTGAGCTGAAATATTCTAGTGGCCAATCAATTCACCGCTCACATGACCCCAAGATGGCAGCCCCCTGTCTGCATGTCAGAAAATAAACAAAACGGAGACAGAGCTGGAAACGGAGGAAAGGCCTCTACTTTTTTTGTTAATGAAACGTCGCCGCCACCGGCATTTCAAGGTTAGGAAAGTATGTGTACGGTGGCTGGAAAGATGGGTTAGGCAAGGAGTTTATGCCAATTTACTCCAAGAGATGCTCCTTGAAAACCCAGAATCCTTCCAACAGTACAGCCGCCTGAATCCTTCAAGAAGGTAGTAGAAACAGTGGGCCCACGATCTGCAAGGTGCCGTTTTGTTTATTTTTCAGACACGCAGACAGGGCAGGGGCTGCATCTGAATACATCTTGGGGTCATGTGAGCGGAGAACGCGCTTTGATTGGCCACTAGAATATTTCAGCTCAGCCAGCAGCTCAGTAGCACGCACACGGCGAGTTTTTACCCCCCCCCCCGTAAAACGGAAAATATCTAACTGGTCAGATATTCACCTGTGAGGCGGAAAACTCAGTGAAAATCAGGTGCCTACAGCGAGCAATCTGCTGAGTAAATGGTCATTCGAGGCTGTTTGCTCAGCAGATTGCTCTCGTGTGCAGCAGGCTTAATGAGGCAAGTGTTTGAGATCAAGGACTTATTTACCATATCATACCATTTTATTTGTACCATGCATTTAAAATACAGCATGAAACTGAACAAAGCCCCTTAAAGAAGGTTGGAAACAAGCTGAACAAAAAATGTCAATAATACAAGATAAAATCAAACAATAAAATTCTTGAACATACAATTTAAAACAATTCAACAACATAAGATAAATAAACTATAACAATAATAAAAACACAACGATGAAACCAGTAGCTCAAAACCAGAAATCATTGTCCAAAAGTCAAATCATAAAAGTGAGTCTTCAGTCTAGACTTGAAAACCAAGACTGTTGGAGACTTATTTGGGACACTTCGAGTTCATCCTTCATATCACCCACTGGCTTATTTGTTGTTTTGTTTATCATCAAACAATGCGGCTGCGCAGTGTCACAGTGGTTAGAGCTGTTGCCTTGCAGCAAGAAGGTCCTGGGTTCGCTTCCCGTCCTGGGATCTTTCTGCATGGAGTTTGCATGTTCTCCCTGTGCATGCGTGGGTTCTCTCCGGGTACTCCGGCTTCCTCCCACCGTCCAAAAACATGACTGATAGGTTGATTGGTCTGTCTAAATTGTCCTTAGGTGTGAGTGTGTGTGTGCATGATTGTTTGTCCTGTGTGTCTCTGTGTTGCCCTGAGATGGACTGGCTCTCTGTCCAGGGTGTACCCCGCCTACTTGCCCGTTGACTGCTGGAGATAGGCACCAGCCCCCCCGCGACCGTACATGGACCAAGCGGGTTCAGAAGATGGATGGATGGATGGATCAAACAATAAAGTGGATGAGAAGTTGATTGAAATCAGTGCTTAATCACCTGGGTCAGCACTACAAAATCAAAGCATTGGGCAATCAAACAGCCATGAGAAGCTAGCACACGCAGCTCTCATTCTGTCAGTTACTCTTTAAAGCTGAAAAACTTCCAAACATGCTTTTCAGTATCTATTCATCTAAACAGTTAATCACCAGCCTGTCATGGGAACTTACAAATAACCAACTTCAGAGGATAAGGCGTCATCTACCACTGCCTTTGTCATGTTATCTCAATGTGATCTGCTATTTGCAGAACTAAAGCCCTATTGAACTTTGTCTCACATAGACGGGGCAAAAGAAACTTGAGCCTGGGATCAGCATGACCCATCCCGTAGACCGCAGAAACTCGGTGTCAAAGAGATGAGAAATGCTGCCAAAATCAGAGTCCCAGGGCACAAGGTGGCATCGAGCATTTTGTCAGCTTTCCACACAAAGCCTTAGGAGATATTCAACTTAACAAAAAAGTTTTTATTTAGTTTGTGAAATAAAGATTAATTTTGTGTTTTGTTTGTGTTTTCCTTGTTGTAACATGATATTTCTTTGATAGCATTTAAAACAGATGTTTTTTTAAACCCATGAAAATTTTTATATAAACATTGTCAGTGTATAAAAGTGACACTGTCTCTTTAAAACATTACAGACTGATGTTTCAGTGGTTCTTCTACCAAGGCATGTTCAATAAAATTGTGATGAAATTAAAAAAAATAAAAACAATAAATAAGAGCTCAGCTGTTGCCAGCAAAGAACCTCAGTGACAACAGAGTTCAACATGTAAACAAACACTCTTCCAGTAGTTAAATGGTTTGTTTCCCCCACCAATAAGTGTAACTGAACAAATTTCACTCTAGAACATTATTTCAATGACACACAAATAAAAAGGTCATTAGTGTGCTTTGAAAAAGCAAAACAAACTAAACACCAGACTACTCAATGTGGTCAGTTTTCTTGTAAAGGAGTCAAGCATTAAAGCACACACGATCTGTAAATTAAGAATGCATCAATATAAAATTTTTGGGCTGATACAGATATTAAGATCACTGTTATGGTCGATAACCGATATTTGCCGATACTGATAAACTGAGATTAATGTCTCAAAAAGCAGCAGATTTTGTAAAGAATGAAAATTAATAAGGCTGAATTTAGGTTATTATGTACACACACCACACACATTTATGCTTCTGAGATTATTACAATCACTGTCAAATGACTAAACAAATACACACCACCCCCCTCACCCTCTGAAACAGATAAACAAATGGAAACAAGATGGGAAAAACATCGGTTGTTAATATCGAGTTTGTCATGACATTAAATTTAGCTACAATCATCTTTTTAGAAAGTTTCCACAGCAGTTTCTGTTTGGTACGGTTAGTGTTTCATTTCCTTTAACAGCTACAATGTCAAACACTACCCAAGGAAATTGTGGCAGATACATTTAGGGTCATATCTTCCAAGAAGTGATGATTCAGCTCCTCAAATCCATGCCAAACAACAGTCAGAAATGTGTTAAAACAACAAAAACTAAAATAAAAATAAATAAATTTCAAAAAAGACATTTGGTAATGTGCATTACCTACAAATTAATATGCCTACATGGTCTATGTTGTGTTATTTTAATCTAGTTTTAGACTTTGATGCATTTTAATTTCCCAAAGTGTTTGTATGATGCCTTTTGTTTTTACAAGCATCAGTCTCAGATTAAAACAAGAATTTCTCAGTAAAGTGTTGTCTGTAATATTTGTTAAAGGTCAACTTGCCTCATATTTTTAATACAGAGTCATTCTCAAGGGAAAAAGCTCCAGTGTGTCTGTGAGGAAGTAGAAGTCAGCCGAAGGAGAAAGTAGCTTCAGATGACAAGATCTTAAGTCTTATTTCTTGACATTTGGACATGTCTCTGACTAAACCGGGGGTACACTGTACGACTTTTTTCACTTTTTTTGAGCCGATTTTCCCCTCGTGCAAGAATCTACAAGATCAAGGCAAGTTTTGCGCTGAGAGTTATGTAGTATCCAGGGGGCTATGAGAGGCACCACGTGACCAGCTACCGATAAGCAATCGTAAGCTCGCACAAATTTCTGGTGTGTTTCATATTTTGCTCATCCCTCATGAGGGCACTGTACCGTTGAAGCAGCACTATGAGCCAAAAAGCACCAGAACTGCTCACGGCGCATGCGCAAACATGCTTCAACATGGCTCGCTAGCTATTTCCTTATTAACACTATATGTCGATGATTAACACACATTGGCCATTTTTATTTATACACTTGTTTTCCACACACAATGACAAGGATTGTCAAGAAAGCATGCTTGTTGTGTTTATGTCAAATTAAACTGAAAACATCGATTTACTTTATTTTTTTCGTCTTCCTCCTCCAGCTCCCGTAAATCCCTGTGTGTTCTCCTACTGCAATCCCGAAGGACAACAGACATCAATGACAACACAATAAAGGTCTGGCGTGTTGTGTAAAAACTTTTATTTTTAGATCTGATGTGTTTCTACCAGATGTACAGTGTGAGCAGTCAGGTCACAACCGAGAACTGGGTCGTACAGTTTGAGCTGAAGCTGAATGCTACGATTAAAAAAGTTGCACAGTGTCTGTCTGGCTTAACAGCAATGCGACTAAAGTCATCATTTGCATTGTTTTACTGTGTGGGCGTCGGAACGAGCCCCTGCACTTTGAGAACAAACATCTCAGCTCTAAAGCCGGTCTTATCCGTGTAAGTCACACGTCACGTGATCAGGAAGTAGAAAATCCGTGCGTTAGGGGATCGTTTTGGGCCGCTGCTGTAAAAAAAGTGAGGCGCAAATCGGAAAAGCTTCTGCCGATCTCAATTCAAAAACGGATTACGAAAAAACGGATAATGCTTGAAACGCGCGGATTCTTCATGATGTAAGAGGCGAGTCTCCGCTTTGTTTTGTTAGTTTTGGGGTTGACATCGTCATAGAGCACAACGTTCTGGGAGTCTTAAAAAAAATCAGTGAAAATGCTGAAAAATGCTGGCAGCGAAGTGCTTTTCTGCTCAGGAAACAGCTGGCAGTTAATGAGTTAACTGTCAGCATAACGTAGATCTGTCGGGCTTTTCTGAACCGAACAGGGTTCTTTCTATTTCCTATCAGAAGGAGACTATTCTTATGTTCAGCCTGCATGTTAAATTCAGAGTGAATTATCATTTTCTAAAATAATGAGTAAAAAGGGTTTCTCAGTGAACCTGGCCTTTAACAAATCTCAAAACCAACACAAATCATGAAACTAATAACCATAAAAGTCTAAAGATAGTGGGAGTGAAGCATTACACAATGGTGTTAAAAGGCAAACCATGTCAAGTTCTAATTCATGTCAGCCCATCAAATGGATGTAGATGCCTCACATTAAGAGCAGGGGTGGTCCACCAGGTCGTAAACTTTAAACTGTAAACAAATCCCCGGAGGATCAAAAAAACAAAAGCAGGCCTGGAAAGGAATCTCTAAAATCAACCAACCATCCACAACAGTAAAAATGACTGTCGAATGAGATTTACGGCCAATTTTCTATATCTGAGCTCTTGACAGATTTATCTGTGCCACACCTCACAAACAGCAGCTCAGGACCTTTGGGTTTCCTGAAGCACTGGTGAGGTATTTAGACAATGCAAGTTTCCAAGATCGTACAGACAACATACTTCAGAAGTAAGCAGCTGTGACTTCAGCTCTCTGAATGAAACAAAGTCTCTGGTTTCACTGGGAAGGAGCTGAAGCAAACAGAGTTCAAGTTGAAGGCGTAAAGGCAGATAAAGACAAACGAGGCTAGTTGGAAGGGGCAGAAATTGTTTTTAAAAAGCTCAAGGTGGCAGAGACAGAACAGGGTCTGTCTGAGTCTTCCACCTTGAAAACACCTGTCTCACAGTGGAGAATACATCAACATCTGTTTTAAAAGCTCTCTACTCTAGATTTGAATAATTATTTTCCTTGCTCTAGATTTAAAGTTCTGTTCCTGGATGAAAAACTGGAAAAAGGTTTTCAGATCAGAACATTAAGAGACCATAACAAAATATGAGTTGGAGTAAAAGGATTGTATTAACCTTCAAATTTATATATACGAAAATTGGGTGCAACTAGTTTGATTCACTGTCCCACAAACCCAGCGTAAACACAGAGTTTCAAAACTCGGGCTGTACCTCTGGACTTGTTTTGTTCCCCCACTGCCTCTTTGTTGTCGATTTCCAGTCTGCATGTGAGATAACACATCTTTATCTCTGTGCATTCCCAAGAAAAAGACCTCTGCTTACATCTCAGAAGGAAAATTAGCTGTTTGTTTGGCTGAGAAGTGGTGCAGATGGGACTAAAAAAGGCACCGGGAGGAGACGTGACCCTACAAAATTCTTGTTCTCATAACGCTGTGATTAGGAGAGGCTGTGGGAGTGGGCGGAAAAAATTCTATGGCAAACATGGACTTGACTCTTTGCATGGGGCAAAGCCTACAGCCATACCCAACTCAGGCTAAATCCGAGCTGTGCGGCTACTGACAACACACACCGCACATTCTCATATCAGAGGTCTCAATATGCAGGATATAAAAGTGGGGTTAGTTGGGCAGTTTGTGACTAAACTTACAAAACCTCAGTAAATAAGACCAGATATTAAGGTATGATGGACTGTGAGACCTCAGCAAAGACTGGCGAACAAAGTTTGTGGGGGAAAAGTCACAATGATATGAGCATTACTGGAAGAACAGCATGATCATTTCTGCTGAGTTACACATAATTGTTAGCATGAGTACAATGAGCCAGTATAATAATTGGCTCTGCAATTATCAGCCCTAAGCTACAAACCTATCTGCTCAATTTCACTTCACAGGGCTCAAGGTCATCGATTCAACCGGTTAAATAAAGTGCAGAATCGGTTCCTGAAGCATGCTGCTGGCATAGTGAACTTTGTCACACCAGCAGGATGGTCTGATATTGTTGCAGTTAGTCAGCTGCTCTCCAACAACACTGACCTGTCACATGCCACTGACTTTGCCTGGGGTTAAGTGGGCAAACCGGGCCACTAATGAGCACATACAGTAACTGCCAAGAACTACATATGGTGAAAAATGGCCACTAGAATGTTTTCTTTATCGCTGACAGGAATTATTTATGGTAACTTTAACCTAATGAGTCTTATGAAATGTTATAATGTTATAGATTAAAAGCTTTAGGAATCACACAAAAGAGTGTTTAATACTTTAATCAGATTATAGAAAAGTAGCTGCTTCTATTCAAATTTGTTATATAACAAAAACACAAAACTAATTAAGTTTAGCATGCACCTTTCCATAAGGAATGTTACTAGCTAATGCAACTGGTTTTTACCCTCTGATCAAAGGTCTTTGAGCTGCAGTCCTAACAGCTGCTGTGTAGCTGGGTAGACTATGCATATCATATCTAACAGATTCCTGTGACAAATCACAGTCAACTCCCTTTACATACCAAACACTGTACTGGGTGTATCAGGAAAGCGATGCTTTTACTGCCTTAAGGTAAACTTTCCGTGCTCTAATTTTTCTTTTTTCACTACAGAAAGTCAGAGGAAATGTTCTTTTTATGGTCGAACATGAAGAAAAACATAAATACTGATTTCAAAGGCTGATTTAAATGTTTATTACTAAAAACTTTTCTGAAGGAAGCAGCCATGTGCATCAAATGTCTTTTTTATACAAGCTATACTTCTTTTGCTCATTAAAGTTGTTGTTTTATAGAAATAACTAGATGAAATGCCGATGCACTGCCTGGTCTGAGCTCAACTGCCTTAGGCTTGGTGGGGTATATGCTGGCAGCACAGGAAGTGGTGGCTGAATATTTTGAATAGTTTAGTATAGAGTTTTCTGGCTGACCCCTTTGTGGACCAGAGCTAGAGGTGGCAAAGTGGCAGAGGGGAAACACACACAGGCTGCAGCCGGAAAAAGGAAACAATACAGCTGAGCTGATGAATAATTAAAAAGAGCTTGGTTACATTAATTGGTGCAAAAGCATAAATAACAGAGTCTGATATTAGGAAAAAGGGGAGAAAAGTCTTTTCAGTAAACTGCTAACCCATCAGCTGTGTTCAGTCACATTAAAGCATAGAAGGATGTTTCTGCTGACGTATTCTAACAAGTTATAACAGAAAGGAAAAAAGTACAAAGGCATAACAGAGTGAAGAATCAGTACGAACCAGTCATCCCACATCACTGAAGTGCTGACTGGGAGGCCAACTTGTCCCAGTTTGATTAAAAGCTTTTTAATTGTACTACAGAAGCCTAACATGGTCAATGCTCCCATTTAAACCGAAAAGATCCTGTAATTGACATAATAGAAGTAGAAAGTGGCGATTAAAGACACTAGTGTTTTTCCAGAGGAAGTCCAGAGAGCTGCCACTGTCGACTGATTTTCAACATTATAAAGCAAAATGAATCGCTTTTTTCTCACAGTTCTTAGCAAGAACGGAAATATTTTCTGACATATGAGTTTAGGTAACAAATCAAGATGTACCATCTGCTCGACACGACTGTTTCACACGCCTGAATAAACTGTTATCAGTCTACCGTGCCACAATGACTCACGTCCGTTTCCTTTCGAAAGTCTGCTCATTGTACATCGGAGGATGTGCAGAGATGGTAGTTCAGTGCTAACAAGAGGACTAACTTTGCTTGAGAAACAGAAGAGGAAGATGGTGAGAGTGGAAATGTTTGACAGAAAAGCTGAGAAGGAAGCAGAGGTTCTTACAAACCTGCACATTTCTCGACTGAAACCACTGTGGGGACAAAATTGTTTGCTGGATGTTACACATAAGTAATTATTGCATTATTTTAATGGTTGAAATCTTGTGAGGAAAATAATCTAAGCTAACTCCCAAATTAATTTTAAGTAATTTTCAACTAAGTTTTGCAAAGGTTTCTAAGGCTGAAAAAGCTTTTTGCATTAATACGGCACAAATCCACTTCATAGCTCCCTACACAGTCCAACTTTGTCATACCACAATACACAGAGAACCAGTGAAAAGACGATAGCTCTTGGGCACCAGTGAGCTACATAAGCTGACGAGGAAGAGCCTGGAGAGAGGATGAATGACTCAAGTCCAGCTGCCTGCCATCCTTTCCTCACATCCTCATTACTCACAATGCAGACACGAACTCTGTGCGGCCCTAGGCACTGAAACCTGGTTGTTCAATGTTTGTAGGAGTCCAAATTAACACACAATTTTAACAGTTTCTGGTTAGCTTATTTAGAGCTGACAACGTTTATGGTATACACCACAGAGTCCCAGCCTTGAAGGTCTTCCTCTGTTAAAAAAAAAAAAAACTAGATTTTTTTTAACACATAACCAAAAAAGCTGTGATATTTGGCCCATGTGTACATGCTGAAACTGTGACATTTAACCCTCCACAGAAACAGTCCATTAGTTGACTCAGAATAGCTTTTTCTCTTTTTCATTTCCTTAATTTTGCATCACCATGCTTACTTTACGGTAAACCCAAAGACTGAAAATAAATAACTCGAAAATAACTTTTCTGAGGAAGTCAACTTAAAGTGAATAAAAAGGCTTGGTTTCAGAGAAGGAGTGCTGTCCTAATGTCAGTAAGGTCCATGTGATGTTGGTCTAACCACACAGTAAATGTTTTTTTTTAACATTTTACCTTAATTTACTTGAATTTCAGAAAGCGCTGAACACAGGATGTGTCATGCTAATTAAGAGCAGAGTAGCAAAATAATCTAAACATGCTGCCGTAGCTGTGTTAACCAACTTGAATTTATACAAAATATTATCTTTAATAAGCTTTGATTATTTTCCACAATATTAAAATAATGCTATTTTGCGATGTGCCATGCCTGAAATTCCAGCACCATGCCTACGAGATTCACCCCTTCCTAATTTTTTATTGGGTTAAAATAAATTGTGGATGAGGAACACGCATGGATGACTGAGACCTTCAGTATTGTGGTTCTACCTAGATGCTGTTTGTACACATGGTCAGAGCTGTTCTTAATTCTTTTATTTAGAAACATTTCCACACACAAGCACTAAACGGTAAATACTACACAATGTATAAAATTGTTCGTACACACAAAACACACACAGATCTGTGCTAAAGTACGGTTGATAAATGAGGGCCCTGGACGTTTAAAAGAAAATCTTTGGATTCAAAAGCTGAAACATGTCTGATTAACAACACAATTCCAACTGAAAACTATGGCTTTTGAAAAGAAGTGGAGCCCAGTCAAGGACCTTTTCAGATGAGATACAAGCTTATGCCTAATTGATTTAATTAACCATGATACATTTAGTTATTATTATTATTATTATTAATGTTTTATTATTATTAAAAACTATTATTTTCTTCTTTCTTTGTAAAGTGTACGCCTTTGTTATATTTATGGCTGGTATTTGAAGTGTGTGGAGCCCAGTCTCAGGACAAAATCATTGTTATGTATTTCTATTCTTTATTGTTGGAACAATAAAGTTAAAAAGAGACGATCTTTAGTTCAATGAGAATAAGCATAATACTGTTTAAACAGAAGTTTCATATGCTGATTTAATTTTTAAAAAATCAGCATTTGATCAATCTATCCTATCAATTAATCAATCACCATGGTCCTGGAGATCTTCAATTCAGCATGTTTTAGTTGATTCCCTGTTCCAACACACCTGATTGAATGGCTAAATTACATGTTTAGCAGCTCATCAAGCTTTCCAGAAGCATGTTAATCAGCACGGATTCCATTCAGGTGTGTTGAAACTGGGAAAACACTCAAACCTGCTGGATAGCTGATCTTGAGAACCAGGGTTGGGAACACCTGGTTTAATGGATAAAATCTTGAACCAAATGCTGTGCCCAACCACTGAAACACTACAAAACCCTTTAGTTAAGCATAGATTCTCTATGCTGTGTGTAACGAGTAGAAACACAACAGAGAGCCTTTGCTCACAAGGAATTTTTGTAAATGAGTTTGTGCATACTTACCGCACTATAACCACTCTGAAGAGGGGACTAACCTGTTCTCTACAAAGAGCATTTTGGAAAGAGAACAACACCAAGGACTTGCTGTTCTCATTCCTAGAACAACTCGTAACAAAATATATGATTAAATTAGCCTTGATTAAAACAAAAACTAAGTTAGCCATTACAGGCTACTAGTAGCACATGCGTTTAAATGCCTCTGCAGTCACCCTAATTGGCAGTGATCCCCTGACACCACCACAATGAGATAACAAGGAGTGTCCAGTAATGCCAACTAATTATTTTTCTTGCAGCACTCAAGCCTTTTCAGATTTCTTTTAGTTAGAAGGCAAACCTGTTCTGCTCTCCCCACCTAGTCCGCCTTCCCCAGCATCCACTGATTTCCCTCTTTCCTATTCACTCTCATTGCATTTTTAATCACAAGTGTCCATTTTTGCTTATTTTAAACATATTTTAATCATTTTCTAAAATCTTTTTTATATTTTAAATTTTTTTGTTTTATGAAGCGCCTCATGATTTTCATCTTGAGAGGCGCTATAGAAAAGATTGTTCTCTTTCTTTCTTTCTTTCTTTCAAACTTGAAAGACATTTTTAACCACTTAAAAACTGTATTTCATTTTTTTTAAGCAGTGCTGTCTTGGTGAAAATCAATAAAATGGTTGGAAACCAGTAAAGAACACTGCAGAAGGAAGTTCTGGTAAACATAATTGATAGCTGCTAAATCTGGTCAGCTATGATGTTTGCAGAAAATGCTGCTGGTTGTTTAAGCATAAAGCAAAGGGTTGTCCAAGCAAAAAATAAATAGCAGCTTCAATAATCACTTATATCTGAACAATGTGAATGAAATACATAAAACATGGTTGTTCATCTAGTTTTCAATGTCTTCTAAACCACACACACATTGGTGTGGTCACCACACAATTACATTTCCCGATTTGTCTCCTTTTCTCCCTTAGCCTCATTTTTTAAAATCTAGGCCATTATTTGGTGCCTCTCTTTTCTCATCTCCAAGACAGCACATACTGTAATTACCTTTTCACTAGAAAATACTCATGAAGTACTTAATCCTCAGACCTTAGAGCTATTCACAAATGGTGAAAAGATTTCAAATATAATCAGATAAACTGTTTGGACATGGAAAGCTGTCACCTTCACCAAGTTGAGCTGAGCTGAGCTAGCAGAACTTGCAGATGAAACAGCAGCTCTCCAAACTTTTCATCAAATTCAAAGTTCAACCTGTGCTACCTTCCTTCTTGTAAGAGTGGTGCACAATAAGTCAAAGCAATATGTGCAATCCACGCAAAAGCAGCTTATGGAGCAAAAAAATGACGTTGTTAAACAAAGAAATGAGACCCTACATAGCATGCAATGAGGCTGAAATGTTTACAGCAGAAACTAGGGGTCAGGATCTATATGTGTGCATAATAAATGTCTTTAACAAACCCTAGCACAGCATCTTACTTATTATGAATAAGGGTGGTCTCCAAGTTGTCAAGAAACAAGAAAAAAGGTCTCATTTATGATCATCAAGAACGTAAATCTCTAATAACAACACAGAACAATTTGTTCTTGAAAACTGCACTAAACACATAACTGCATTTGACCCAAATGTAGGGCTGTACAATGACTAAAACAAATGTCAATGCAAGAAACTTTAAGCTAGGCCTCAGGCCACAGCATGAAAATTATGCCAAAACGTCAACTTCCCACATGCATGTCAGATCTTCCAAAACGATGGTTCACTTAGGACAAACTGTACAAAAGTGCTCTTCAGACCTTAGAGCTATTCACATCTATTCAAATGACAGGCAAAATAATGCTTCAAACTGATCCTAGTCATCTAAGAATCATTAAAGCTTAAAATTCAAGACAAGTACTAGGCTCCAGCTAATCTTCAAGTCAATCCAGTGGTAGTGAATTAGTGCTGGCAGCTGTTTTAAAGGCTGCTGTCAGCATTAAAAGGTTGGCTTTTCTTTTATTCTTTCATCCAACCTGGATGAGCAGTTGAATTAGTGCCTATCGACCGGATCTCACCTTTCCCAGTTGCTAAAGAGGCAATTAACACGTAATGAAAATTTCCGGCAATACGAAATTTTAGCCATTAACCAAATGCTTCATTGCGCTACATGTTTACAGTAAGTGACATTTGTCAAACTTTCCAAGGACCCAAGTTGCTACAACCTAGTGACATCATTTGCGGGCTATCTGATAAATCCAAGAATTTTTGGCATCCGGTTTGTTTTCTTTTGTTGACCCACGCTCATTGACTTGTTTGCTGATAAGAAGGGCAGTCTTTTCATGTGCTGGAAACAAACTTATATGCCTCTGACCACAATGTGATTGCTTCAAACCACCATAAAAAGAGGAAAAAGTCATCTTTACTCAGTCTGGCATTTCCTAATCGGTCTACCCATATTATATGCTCACACTTGTGACTCAGTAGTGACAGAATGGAGGGTCAGTTTGCCAACTTTTATCATTCTGCGATAATCAACTGTTGCTTCATTTGTTATGTTGGTTAGGAAATAAACCTAGACAAAGTGTAGGCAGCTTGTCAGACCAATGTTTGTGATTGACACGAACGTGTGACACCACAAGGACAACTGTTTCTTCAGAAGACAAAACAAAGGTCATCATTGTAACAAACATGTAGCAAAAGTCCATTTGAAATAGGACCACCTATCAACATGCCACTAAGCTAACTAGTTTTGTTTCTGCACTACCATCACTTGATTAAATTTAGGAATTAAAAACGCTTTACCCTTGAACTGATTTTTCTTTTGTAGGCTGATTTCAAAAGGCTCCAAATACTCACGTGTCTAATTATGTGACTGCTCTAATTTTAGGTGCCAAAAACTACTTTCCATAACACTATCTTGGGACATCAGTCATGAACAACTAAAGAACGGTAATTTAAAATATTATTAAGCCCACAGGTGCAAACAATTATACAATCAGCCTTATAATTATAAAAGCTTAAGATTCACGTGCAACTACAGCTAGCAACATGTCAACTTCTCACACCAATTTTCAATCAGCGTCATTGGGAAAGGTTCTGTACTTTAGTCAAAAAGAAAAGGTCAAAGGACAGCAAAAAAAAAAGCATTTTAGAGAGAACATGTTTGATGAAAGGAAGAGCCTCAAGCCAAAAAGGCAGCTAAATGTTCGTCAGGCACAGGACAGGTTTGTGAGTGCTGAGTCACTCCGGCTTTGACAGATTTGTAAAAATCAAATATACGTACAAAATGTGCCATCTATTCAGATTTACTTTGCACTACTGGTCAAGAATTTATCAGATTATTATTAATCTACTTTATCTTTTTGGAAATTAAATGAGACAAATTTTGTCTAAAAAATTAGCTTTAAGTAGTATTTTTTTCTTAATAAATACATGACCCAACACTGCTAGGCTAAATGAGAAAATAAAATAATCATTTATAAAACAATAATTATCACATTTCATTGAGCAGATAAAATAAAAAGTCTGGAAAGGAGAATCAAGCAGAAAGCCAAGCTTTCCAACTAATGAAAACCAATTTGTCCCAGAGGCTGCTTCATCACTTTACTTGGCAACAAAAGCCCACTGTGTACTGAACACAAATGCTAACCATTTCAAGCTGCAGGGAAATCATTGTTATCTCACAACTCCGCCCCCACAAAGCATTGTTCTACTTTTGTGATGAACTCTAATTCAAAACAGAACAATGTAACTTGGAGCAGATTCCTGAGAGACTCAGTCTGTACAAAGAACAATGCTCCTCTGCCAAGAGGAGAAAGTTTAAAAATCCATGCCAAGTCATGTACGGGTGTTTTCTTTGATAGGTTAGGTCCTCAAATACATTTAGAACGGAGTTCTGAGTGAACAAGGCATTTTAATTACAGCTTACTAAAGTTATAATCAAGGCTCTGGCTGCCAAGTTGCCTATGGGTTCCAAAAGCTAAAAGTTTTTGAGGTTTAAAGATTTCTTTATTAAAAAATGCAGATAAGACAAAAATGAGAAGATACAAGTAATCAAATGTTTTCAAAGTTGAGACAATTATTAAAACTGTGCAACCACAGACATGCCCAAGCATTGTAAATACAATCAGTGGCTAAAACGATTCTACAGACTTTAATAAACGTGGATGCAGGAGGCAAAATACTATCACTGGGGAAATGACTACAATCAATATACAATTCACACACTTTATTTTAATGATCACATATCTCATTAAATTTGCTGTGGTCTCTTTAAGTCCTCTTCAGACAGGCCATGAAAAACGGAAATGTTCAGGACTCTGTCCATAAGACCTTTGTGTCTGAATACAAACATCCGGATAACGTTTTCCGTAATTAAACCGGACAACGCCCCTAGTAACAGGTCAGGACTTGTTACGGACAAGGTGGCTGCTTCAGACTGATGAGGTCGAGTTCCGGACAGGGAGGAGTGGGAGGAGGAGGGGACCGGGGGACGCTGTGCGCACCTAGATAGCTTGCTCCTGTAGAATGCGGCGAACCATGGCAGCTCGCCTCCTACGGTACCGTCTAGGCGCGCGACGGAGCACTTCACACCGCTTCCGTGATTCCTTTAACCATTGAGCTTCACCATCCAGGTCTCTTATGCGTCTTCGTGTGCGCAGAATTATGCTTAACATAAGTCCAATCTCCCCCTCCCCGCCGGTCAGGTAAAAACTCTGCATCGCATTTGAATTTAAATCTGCCATCGCTATTGGCTAAGAGGTACACTATGATGTTAGATAGTACATTATGATGTCACAATGTCGTGAGTGTGTGTATTTGTTAGCGGCTCCACCCTCTCGGTCTGCAAGGCAACAGCATTTGTTGCAATTTTCAAACAGGAAGTGGGAGTTGAGTAAGAATCTGGTAGGGGTGACTTGCTCTTTAAATACCTCCATCTGCTTCTGACTCAAAGAAAAGTCGACATCTAAATGGTCCAAAGTTGATGCCAAAGTCGTTTCAAACAAGCCATCCCAATCTTAGTTTAGCTCCGTTGCAGTAACATTCTGTCCACCAAATAAATAGAGAGCTGTGATTGGACAGGCACCAGACTATCCGGGTATGCAAAGATTCCAATGGAGCGTAGCTAGACCAACATGCAGAGCAAAATAATTTTGCTGCGGTAACTGAAGGTCTAGATTCTAGGCTAGTGGTCTCTAGTATGAATTAATGCCTTGAGGATAAAAATGGTTGCATTTCCATTTTAGGAAGTGGAAGTTAGCCAGAGAAGTGTGAGGCAGAAAACTGCAGGATTTGGAGTCTTACTCATTATTATTCATGATATTAAACACCTTGCCTCTGATTGGCTAAAAGCAATGCAACTCTTCTGCTACCTCGTTTGCATGGCACCGTTGATATTTCACCTCCACAAACAACACAAGCCTAAATGAGTTGTTCACTTTGCACCTGCATCATACCAGATGCAAATTTTACAAATTTATCTAAATGTGCTTCTTGTATTTTAGCCCACACAGTTAAATGGCCAACAAGTCAAAAATTCATCAGATTAATGATCAAATCAGCTTAAACTAAACAAACCCTTGTACCCTTCTGAGTTGATTTATAATTTATCAAGACAAATTAGGTCGATTACAGGGATAAAGGCGGATAATAACCCCTCACAGGTGGACAACAAGTCAACACCAAGTTGAGCTTATGTTTCAGCTCCAACCATCCTCACGAGGCCTTGAGACTGTGAGCCAGAGCAGAAGGTAGCCAGCATCCTGCTGATTCAGTCTGGCCATGTCAGTACTGCCACAGAGAGGATTACAGAGTAGCAATTGTTGCTGCAGGTGTGTGTGTGTGTGTGTGTGTGTGTGTGTGTGTGTGTGTGTGTGTGTGTGTGTGTGTGTGTGTGTGTGTGTGTGTGTGTGTGTGTGTGTGTGTGTGTGTGTGTGTGTGTGTGTCATCTGCCTGCTGCCAAAATCTGTAAAGTTGGCACAGACAGCAACATACGTATTTCACTGAATTTAGATTTATCTACATAAACACACACTTACTTGTTGAAATTACCTGGAAATCAGCTCTTATCACATTTTAAACTGATTCAGTTCTGAAGCCTAGAAAAATCATAACCCAGCTTCCTTTGAATACAATATATAAATCTCATACAGAGACTGGATCATTTGTAACGACAGAAAAAAAAGCACACAAGTACACAACCGAGGCCTACATAAATACAGGACAGACTACGCACGTGTTTGGACACCAGCACTCATTTAGTTATTCTTGGCTCCAACAACACCTCTCTAGCAGCACGGCTTGCTGCTTAAGTGTTGCAACATTTCAGCTCAAGCTCTGTGAGGGGTGTCTGACAGACTCTAAAATACAGTGTGTACATTTGGTACTATAGGCAAGTCTGTATTTATGAGGATCAAAGTTGGAACGATGCCAGCTTCTTTATGTTAGGGGACTTACTTATTCTCTCTCCAGGAAGGAAAAACAGCTACTGCATTGCTTTATACCCAACCCAGTGGCTTGTTGATACTCTCAAGTTTCAACATCCTTTGTTTTGAAACAGATTTGAAGTCTTTAATGATCGTTAACTATTGAAAAATCCAGAAAATTCCAACATTTGTTAATGTTGTCATTTGCTTTCCATTCCAGTATTTCCACAATACCACACTTCTATAGTTTTAAATGTGAAATTCAAACAAAGCAACGCTTCAATATAATGCCTTTTGAGTTATAACATGCTTAATGTGGGCAATGCAGAAGGGAGCGGCCTTCTCCACAGTGTCCACATCGCTGTAGAAGAATGTTTAGTATGAGGGCAAACTTCCAGCTGCATTCTTAAGTTCTCCATCAGTCTGTCATAACTCCATATCAAACCTCTCGTCCTTCAAATGTACAACAAATGAGACAATTTTAACAAAGTATAGTTCTACAAGTTGCTAATTAGTTAAATAAAATCAGAAAGGTATCACCAGAACAGCAGTTTTTGCATCTTACCTGTCATCATCCTCAATGATGGGTATCTGGATGTTAAAAAGGCTGTTGACAGATGGGGAAACCAAGGTGGGACCCTCGTCAGCAAGACTCAGAACGCCATCTTTCCCAGGAACTACACTGGTGGAACTTTGGTGAGGTACGACATCAGAATTCTGCCCACTATCTTCTGCCTGGTTACTGAAGCCAGAGAAAAGGCCTACTGCGGCTCCACCAAGAGCTCCTTGGAGCTGGACATTTCCCCCATTGTTGAGCACTTGACTCAATACACCTGGAGGTATGCTGATTGTATTGGGCACTGTGGCAGGCACATTCTGACCACCACTGTGAGAGCAAGTGGTGATGGTTGCAGAGGTTGCAGGAGCAACACCTAACCCTCCTGAAGGCAGAGTCTGGTTGACAGGTTGCTGCAGTGGGTTTCCTGGAAGAATGAGGGGCATGACTGGTGCATTGATCACTTGCTGTAAAAGACCTTGTGCTGAGCATACATCTACAGGGAACCCTTGAGTTCTTGTGCAAGCAGGTGTAAATGGGGGTGAGGATCCTACAGGGGACGTCATTGAGGGTACGTTTTGGGCACCTGAGCCAAAGTGTTGCTGATGATAATCAGGGTTGCTGGAGGAAAAGCCAGTGGGATGAGTAGAATAGGCTACCTGCTGGGGCTGCGTAGCCAGAGGTATGTGTGGCTTCTGCTGCATGGCACCTTGATGCACACCATTGATGCCATGAGGGAGAAAGGTTTGGGGAGTAATGGGCTGCATATTGACATGAGCCTGTTGTGTTTGCTGTGATGCTGTAGTTGTAAAACCCATGGGCTGGAAGGCACTTGCTCCACTCCCAATCTGAGGGGACAAGCTGTAGCCTTGATGCAAGGGATCTGAAGTGTGGGAGTGGGTGGGATGTCCAGCAGAGACAGAGAAGCCACTATCAGTGGAGTTTGCCAAAACACTGCTACTGACTATGAAATTACTAGTGACTCCTAATCCACTGTCTCGGTCTATACTTTGATCATGTGTTATAGCTGGCTTTATGCTGTCCACAGTCCGGTTAACACTTGAATCTGACTCTTTCTCATAGAACTCAGTACATGTCCACCTGCCCCGTCTGAAGGGCTCTCCAGTACCATGGTCAAGTTTAATGACCCTAAACCTGGAACTACAACTACTGCTGGGAGCAGTGTGAGCCACACTGGCAGCCGGAACCGTGTTGGAGCTAGAAGCTTGAGGCTGAGCTGGACCAGGCACACTTCCCCCTGCATTATGTGGGGTAACACGACCAGTGAGTGTATTTGTAGAAGAGATCCCTCCGTTGACAGGACCTGCGTTGTGAATCTGTCCCTCCTGGCAGTCTCCAACATTGTTCAGCGTCTCATCCGGTGAGCTCCTGTCACACACACCCTGCTCGACCCGAGACAAGTCAAATACTTCCGATGACAAGTCCTCAGTCCGTGACTCGTCCGGGTAAACCATGCTCTCGGTGTTGTCGGGGATGTGGCTGGCATCTACCTGAGCCTGGGTGACACTCGTAATCTGGAAACAACTTTTCTTCTTTCCTGCTAGTTTAGACATCGTGTTGACAATTTGGCTCAAGTCCGCCCAGATGAATCGACGAACTAACGTCTTACGAAGCAGTTCACAGTTGAAAAGTGAAAAAAAGAGACGTACCGTCACGGTCTAGTTCCATACTGTTCATCTTACGTACTTAAGTTTAAGGCGGTCTCTCAGCAGTAAATGTATTCCTCGCCAAATTAGCACAGGTAGCTGGTGTCGGCTAGTCTTCGCTTCTGGAGAAGCATATGCGCCATCGCGATGTAAACAAACTCGGCAGCTTTTCAAAAAATAAAAGATAATCCAGCGGGAGACGAAGAGGAACTGTCTCAAAGTAGGAGAAGTTAGCCCCCGTCGTGACGACGGCTCTCTTTTAGCAGCCAGCTGACAGAAAACCACTTTACCACAGCTGCAGTGAGCTAACGGGCAGCTAACTCCTGCCTGCCGCTCAACTCCTCCACAAGATGGCAAAAAGGAAGTGCATCATAGGAAGGGAGGTCAAACTCAGCACCCGGTGACTCATGAATTTACTCACAAAGAAACGGCTTAAGAAACTTTTCATTCATGGGGCCTCTGTGAAAACAGGAGCCGCTGGTAACTATACAAAAGCGAAATTAATTTCACACGGTTAACCGTTAAACACGATGTTTTCGTCATTTCCGATAAACGTCATATCCGGTAGAAAGACGTAGCAAGTTATTTTAAAATCCGCTTCAAAGTTTTTTTTCTTTTTTTAAAAAGTGTTCTGAATAAGATTAAATAAAAAATATAAATAAAACTCATAAATAAATAAAAATCAGAAAAACAAACTTTTTTATTTGAGTATCATAGAAGCAGGCAATACTTATTTTGACATTGTGCATCAAATAACTGTGACAAACTGTGATTTGTCACTGCTAATTATATTAACCATGTATTTGTATAAATAACTTGTTAAATAATTTTGTTTCACTCACTACAACATCAAATTACTCCCTAACTTTTGTGATTAAGTGCATCTTTTATATAATTTCTATTTTTTAAAACTGTATAGACATACCTGTAAACAGTATCTGCCTGAAACATGCAGTTTAAAGTCTGCACCAAAAGCAGTGGAATGAGTCACTGTAAGACTTGTATGATTTATCACATTAGTCTGGGGAATCAGTGTTGATTCAGTCAGACTCACTGATCAAACAGGTGTTGTTTATGAGTCAGCAGCACTCCAAGTAATAACAAATATCTCCATTATTGCTGAGAACAACTTCATAGCCTGTCATTTTTAAGAAAAGAAAAGTTTTAGTGGTTCCTTTTACCTCTCAACATTGGCTGTCCTCACAAATTAAGACCATCCTAAAGCTAAAATAAAAATGTTCCTGTCGAAACCACAGTTTTTACAGTATTTCATAATGTGTCAACGTCATCCTGGCAAGTGATAAGAGACCAGTTTGAGAAGCACACAGCGATGGTTGCTTTGTTGACAGACATCTGTCATTTAGAACCAGTTTCCAGCTAGGTTCATCTACATACATCTAGTCTGACTGGTTCTAAAGGCAGAATCTGTAATTATTGAAACTTCCTTCATTTGAATTCAGCCCTGCTTTATCATTAGCATCACCCCACATTACTTATGCTTTTTAAATGTAGGACACACAGAGTGTAAAGAGTGGTTTGAGGTGCTTTTGATTTGAGGTTGTAACTTTGAGGACAAAAGCAACAGATGTTTTATTGGAAGAGAAGGAGCAGGGTGGAGTTGGTTGTGACACATCTCATATCTGGATCTTGTGTTGCAATCATCAGATGATTTCACAATTCACACCTCAGTTCGTGCTGCCACAATGATTCATGCTTCAAATGAGTAACGTAACACAAAGGCTTAAGTTACATAACTCATCATATGATTCAATCCTCGAAGTTTTGTATTGTACATATTTCTAATATTATTGCATCCAGATTGTGTTTTTGGTGACTTTATTTCCTGACAGTGACTCAGTTGCGATCACCAGATGACCAGCAGTTATAAGTCGTCAGCAGGCAGTCAAAGGCTTAAGCTGCTGGGTAGTTTTGTCACAGGACCTGCACATGATGCAAAAACAAAAAATAGGTCAGAACTTTGACCTGTTTCTGAATGACATCACTTGTGATTGTGGTCAGTCAGCTGTGTTGGTTTTGTTGGTGGGTTAGTCGTGTTAGTAATGTTACTTTTTATTCCATCTATCTGTCTGTCTGTCTGTCCATTCATCCATTTCTCTTTCTATCTATCTGCCTGTTATGGCTCAGGGACATTTGGGTTTTTCCCTGTGTGTGTGTGTGTGTGTGTGTGTGTGTGTGTGTGTGTGTGTGTGTGTGTGTGTGTGTGTGTGTGTGTGTAAGTGTGTGTGTGTGTGTGTGTGTGTGTGTGTGTGTGTGTGTGTGTGTGTGTGTGAGAGTGAGAGTGAGAGTGAGAGTGAGAGTGAGAGAGAGAGAGAGAGAGAGAGAGAGAGAGAGAGAGAGAGAGAGAGAGAGAGAGAGAGAGAGAGAGAGAGAGAGAGAGAGAGAGAGAGAGAGAGGAGATGCAGCACCTGGCTCCAATCTCACTGGATTGCCTCCTGGACCCCCAGCTGGCAGACACCAGTTCAATCAGCTCAGATGTGCTGTGTGAACCATCATATTGCAGCGCCATCAAGACCACAGCAACCGGCAGAGCTATCCACCATTCATGTGTCTAGCTGGTGTCTAGTTCTGCTCAGAACCAACACTCGACTGCTGTCTCGATTCCTCCAGCTCAAGCTTGGCGACTCGATGCAGGGACTCCCACGCTCTTCTCCTACGCCGTTCCGGCCATGAGAGCGCTACTTCATTAGCTAGTTGCTGAGGCTTTCTGTTCCCGCACCTGTGCTGCAGAAGTTGAGCAGCTTATTGGCCAGCACGCCGCTGTCCAGTTTCGCTGCACCGATCCAGTTATTACTAGGCTCCCAGGAGCTCTGGCTTACTGGAACGACGTTAGGAGCCTACTTAGCTTTGCCTTTTACTGAAGCTGGTTGTTTGGTGTGCTACTCCCACCACCAAACACGGATTGTGACACAGCTCTTCACTGGGCCCATTGTTTTGTGCAGCTGTCTCCGCTGACAGCAGGACTGCTTAGGCGTGTGACTCCAATCTGTGCTCTGCTGCTTTGTCTATGCTTCCCGGACCCCCGGCTAGCAGACACCGGTTCAATCAGCTTGGATGTGCTGTGTGAACCCCAATATTTCAGCACTATCGAGACCACAGTAGCTTGTGGGGCTAACCACCATTCAGGTGTCTAACTGGCCCGAGTTCTGTTCTGCTATCTCTCACACATGTTTTCCCTCACCAAGCACAACCATACCTCCTGCACAGCGGGAATGCACATCTCACTGCGCCACCGTTCTGGTCCTTCGGGTCGCGGCTGCGTACCCCGTCGCTCATGCGCGTGCTCTGCTCCCAACAAGTTTTTCTCTGCGGGATGCGCTGGAGCCTGCATGGTTGTGTTGTCTCGCACTCCCTGCCCACCAACATGACTCTTTGGGGGAGGTGTGCGTGGTTATCTTCATGTTCAAATCATAAGTGCAGAATTTTGAAACAGTGTTTTCAACAGATGGTTCTGTTGAGCACTCTGTCGGGGTTCCCCACATGTTTCCCACACCTAAAGCACCCATTTCTGGTGACCACTCAGCTTAGGTTCACCATGGGTTGACTACAGCTGCTAACTGCTTTAAGGCTGAGGGACGATGCGCTAACAAGGATCGCACTTCCTTTGCTTAGCTGTCAAACCCTCCACACACAAATCTTATGTGTGAACGTGATATTAAACAAGAGCTCCGTGGCGAGCAATGCGGTCTGCTGATGAGGCAGCAATCATTCGCCAGAGAGGCAACCTCTCATGCTTCCACAGTGACTAGGAAGGCTGCCATGTTCCTTCCTGCATCGCCGGTTCTTGAGCCCGCACGCTACAGCCGAGCGCGCCAATCAGCCACCCGAGCTTATGGCCCATCCATCCTCTGCGGCTGACATGGGCCTCCCGTCCTCTACGGGCAACCCCTTGGGTTGCCCCTCCCTTCTGTGGAGGTGGCAGTCTACAGAAAGGGCTGAGGATGTCTCGTGTGCGTCAGAGCTTACGGCCTTACCATCCTGAAAAAGCCAGATCTTGTCTGATATTGGAAGCAATCCAGGGTAGGGCTTGCTCAGTACCTGGATGGGAGACCACTTGGGACTACCAGGTGCTGTAACCCAGCCTCTGCACACGCAGCTCCTCTCTCATCATGCCCAGGCATGGACATGTGCTTGTCACATGGGTGCATGGATACACAATATCTACATGGTCAGGCTCCAATATCGGTATTGCCCTTCTCCATTTGCAGGGACTGTGGAGACCAAACAGACATCAGATCAGTCTCGCTCTCAGTTCAGAACTGCTGGAACTACTGGGAAAGTCGGGAGGAATCAAGCCTATTCTCGATCTTTCTGCTTCGAGGCAGTAAGACACTTCTGCCTGTTGGCCAGGTTCTGAGTTATGTGCATCCAGGCGATCAGTTCACCTACATCAACCTGAGAGATGCCAATTTTCACATTCCGGTGATCCCAAAACACAGGAGATTCCTGCGTTTTTCCTTCATCAGAGCTCAGTTTCAGTGCAACATACTTCCTTTCGGGTACTCCCTTGCACCGTGTGCCTCAAGGTGGCGCTCCAACCACTATGCGCCTAGTGCATGAAAATCCTCTTTCTAGATGATCTCCTGCTTCTGACCTGCTCCAAGTCCGATGCAGACTCGCGGACGTTGGCAGAACTTCAGGTTCGGGTTTTCTGTAAACAGGGAGGTGAGTTGATGACTCCGCCTCAGGTGATTCTTGGGAGTGGAACTGAACTCTGGGATCATGAAAGAGCACTTGTCACAGTCCGGGATTGTGGACTTAACTGCGATGCTCAAGCACATGTGCACACATCACTCTGTGACGGCACTGACAGTCATTAAACTGATGAGCATGATGAGACGCATTCAACGTTGTCTCTGACGTCTCAAGGTTCGCCTGATCCACCACAAGCGTTACATCTTGTCCGTTCCTTCCTCGGTGAGGAGGGATCTGCAACATCAGGTAGTCCCCGGACCCTGAGAAGACGAGTCCCGCTGCATGGCCTCCCATGCCTCAATATTTACAGTCTCATTCTGTCAGGATGGGTGGGGACTACATGTTTGTCCAATTCAGTGGGCGACAGCTGGCCTCCATGAATTTATGCGCGCCTAAATGTGTTTAAAGTCCTGATGATCCACAAAGCGACTCTCCACTTTGCATCTCTGCTCCAATCCACAATGTTGTTGTTCACTCAGACAACCAAGTCGCAAATGTGTATCGTTAAGGCGGGGTTTACTCTGCCATGCTTCTGTGGGTAGCCAGAACACTTCTGTGCTGGGCTCAGACACACCTGTCTATAAAAGTGGTTTGCAGCCTGGGCATTTTGAATGTTAAAGCAGACATCATGTCCAGATGTGGCACACATCACTGGGGGGTGGCGTCACCACCCCGATCTCGTGTCTCATTTTGGGAGAGTTTTGGGGATGCGGCTGTGAATCTGCTTGGTCTTGCGAGAACACACTCTGCAGACTGGGGTTCTCTTTGAGCTCACAAGATTGTCCCGTTCGGTATGGACGCTTTAGCCTACGAAT